TCGATATGACTTTTATGAATACCAAGTGAATATTTCTGGCTATTAAATTTTTGAAAATTTGATCGATATGATTTTTATGAATTTCTGGCTAAATTTTTGAAAATTTGGTATTTGATTGGATTAAGATTTTTATGAATATTTTTAATTATTAAATTTTTGAAAATTTGGTACTTTGATCGATTATGATTTATATGAATTTCTGGCTATTAAATTTTTGAAAATTTAATAAAGAAGAATATACGATGTTTGGTCATTTGTCAATTTTTTTGAAATTCGAATATTTAAGAGGAACAATTTTAATAAAAGTGTAGAATTTATAGATTAGACATATTTGCATCTTTTTAGATTCTTTCAATTTCAGAATTTTTGAACGAATCCTCTTTATTATCTTTCCAAGAATTTAAAAAAATTTATAATAAAATAATACAGAGTCTTTCTAACTAGATAAAACCCTAGGAATCATAATTTCAGAATTTTGCCATATATAAATATGATAAACATGTATAATTAAGAGATCAATATTCAATTATAATTCCAAACTATTCTATAATTAAATATAATTGAACAATTGGTTGAAAATTACCCAATTTTTCTATTATAAACGATATTGCGTTTCAGATATGCGAACGAATCGGCAGATTATCCCGACATACAACTGTTCCTCTCCTCCATGGCCGACAACACGGACGGTGGACTGTTCGGGAAGCGAGACTGCAACATTATGGACAACTTTTACGAGCGTTTATACGAGAATATCTTGTACCAAGACTCGTACATGATCATGCCGTTGCTGCTGAGGCCAAAAAGCAGAGGATACATCAAGCTTCGCAGCAGATACGTCAACGATCAACCGATCATAGTTCCAAACTACTTCGACGACCCGCACGATCTCGACGTTTTGGTAATAAAACGCAATTTGACGATTGAATAAATAATATGGAATCAGTGTCTTGATCTGATTTCAATCACATCTCGCTTTTGTTGATTAAATCTTTTAGAAACTCGAGTCTGGATAAATTAACAGGTATAGGATATTCAATTACTTTCTATAATATCGTCAAACTTTTAACGAACCGCAGGCGGAGGGGGCAAAGTTCATCTACGACATGAGCAAAACGGCAACGATGAAACGACTGAGAGCCCGGCCAAATCCCAACAAACTTTCCGAATGTTCCTCGTTCGAGTATCCGTCGGTCGATTATTGGCGTTGCTACGCCAGATACTACACGATGACCATTTACCACCCGTGCGGGACGTGCAAAATGGGGCCGGCTAGTGACAAAATGGCGGTGGTCGACCCAAGGCTGAGGGTGCACGGTGTCGAGGGGCTGCGAGTGATCGACGCCTCCATCATGCCCACGATCATTTCTGGAAATACCAACGCGCCGACGATCATGATCGCGGAGAAGGCTGCCGACATGATTAAGGAGGACTGGGGAGTTGAAAAAATTCCCTAGGATATTTCGAAGAAGGAATCGATCAACTTTGAACTCGATAACTTTTGAAATTTCATTGCGAACAGAGGGGCAAATTTTGTGATTCTATTCTCAATGATATCACGATTGTTCAGGGATTTAATAAATCGAAATTCCCTAGGATATTTCGAAAAAGGAATTGATCGAAAACTTTTGAAATTTTATTGCGAACAGAGGATCAAATTTTGTGATTCTATCGTCAATGATATCACGATTGTTCAGGGATTTGATAAATCGAAATTCCCTAGGATATTTCGAAGAAGGAATCGATTAATCTTAAAATTTCATTGTAAAGAGAGAAGCAAATTTTGTGATTCTATCGTAAATGATATCACGATTGTTCAGGGATTTGATAAATCGAAATTCCCTAGGATATTTCGAAGAAGGAATCGATTAATCTTAAAATTTCATTGTAAAGAGAGAAGCAAATTTTGTGATTCTATCGTAAATGATATCACGATTGTTCAGGGATTTGATAAATCGAAATTCCCTAGGATATTTCGAAGAAGGAATCGATTAATCTTAAAATTTCATTGTAAAGAGAGAAGCAAATTTTGTGATTCTATCGTAAATGATATCACGATTGTTCAGGGATTTGATAAATCGAAATTCCCTAGGATATTTCGAAGAAGGAATTGATCGAAAACTTTTGAAATTTCATTGCGAACAGAGGAGCAAATTTTGTGATTCTATCGTCAATGAAATCACGATTGTTTAGGGATTTGATAAATCGAAATTCCCTAGGATATTTCGAAGAAGGAATCGATCAACCTTGATCGAAAACTTTTGAAATTTCATTGCAAGCAGAGGAGCAAATTTTGTGATTCTATCGTTAATGATATTATGATTGTTCAGGGATTTGATAAATCGAAATTCCCTAGGATATTTCGAAGAAGGAATTGATCGAAAACTTTTGAAATTTTGTTGCGAATAGACAAGTATTTAATCGACCAAATTTTATGATTCTATCGTCAATAATATCACGATTGTTGAGAGACTTGATAAATCGAAATTCCCTAGAATCTTTCGAAAGAATGACAATTTTCGATTTGATTGTTGGCGAAAAATTTTAACATTGATCGTCATATAAAATCGAGGAATTTATTAGCATAAGTTTAAAGAATAATATTAATATTGTAAATAATGATAATAATTCTAATTATTAACGTTATCGTTTATTAATTAAATAAAAAATTCGTTTCCAATTGAAAACAAAATCGTTTTGCACTTGTATCATTGTTCTTCCGATAATAGTTACATATTATATATTACACATACAGATGGTTAGTGAAAGGAAAGAAAGTAGGAAGAAAGGAACGAAGTCATCGATTTTTTTTTCTAAAATAATATATATATATATATATATAGTTCATTTACATACACGTGTATTTCTCGACTAAATTTATTAACAACCATCGAGCACATTTAACTGACTTGCAATTATTTTACTTCCTATTCATTTGTTTCACGATCAGAATTTCATTATAATATCATTATATCAATTTTAATAATTAGTCGATTGGCAAGATAAATTAAATTCTTACATCAATCACCGACAATTCAAATGATAATTCTCATGATAATGCATTATTCTATTTCTTGAACTTTTTGCAGGTTATAATTAACGCGAAAAAAAAAAGAAGAGGAAGAAAACGAAGAAAAAGAAGACATCGAAATAGAAAATTTTTCTCTTCTTCTTTGAAATGTAAAAATAAAAATGTAAATGGTAATTGCGTAAAAAGAAAAAGGAGTAGAATCCTGATCTGTTGCAATTTTTCGAGCGTCCGCGATTTTTAGGTATTCCTTCATGCGAGAAAGCGAGATGGAAGATAAGCCTTTCTTAACTGCTAATAGCGAATTTGCTTAAATAAAATAATGGAACCATGAAAAATTAGCAAATAAATCGAGAGACATGAATCACATCAAATTCGAAATCGTAACACATTTCTTATTCGAAACGAAAGAAGATAATCATATGATACGTTGAAGAATTTGATAAATCGAAATTCCCTAGGACACGATTTCGAAGGAGGAATTGATCAACGAAAGTTTTTGAAATTTTATTGTGAATATATTTAATGGAGCATATTTCGAAACTTTGCACAAGCTTTAGTGAATTTTTTTGAGAAAAAAAAAAAATTGAAGAAAATTAAAATCCATAATATATAATACGTAATTTTTTAATTAAAATTATCTTCGTTTAATTAAAATTTCAGAGAGATTATTGATAATAATAGAACGTAATAAGAGAATGCAACTATTGCAACGATTATTTCAAGGAGCAAGGAGAAATTGTACGAAATTCAATGAAAGATTATTCATATAATAAAAGACATCTCTATTCCAATTAATCTAAAGGATAATATATATAATCTCTTATCCATTATCTCAATATAAATTTTAATCCACTTATAATTTTATAAATTTCCCCTTAAAACG